TCCTGCAATTTCGAACACAACTCTGTCTTTGATCACTCTGGTGCAGGTAAGATATGGCATAAATCTTGCTACCAGGCTTACCATGTGTTGTAGAATGTCAGGAGGAATAAGGAGGAATGTATGCAGCTTATGGAACATGTTCATGAACTGCTCTATGCTGTCATCAACCTCCACTTGGAACCTGGGACCGCATCAAGTTTTCCTCCTGCAATTTTGTCTGCTTTCGGGGAGCTCACAGTGTATATCTGTTCCGCTAGCTCTTTGCTAAAGTCACAGCTGATAATTCACTTAGAACATTTCACAAGGTGCATGCATATATGGAGGCTCAACAGGAGGGGAACAAGATCAAGCACTTCTTTCATCAGAGTGAGATGAAGACACTGCTCAATGAATGTCGTATTGGATTGCAACAAGCTGTTGACATATTCAAGGTGTGTGCTTCAATTTGTTATTATGCTGAATTTTCAAAACCTCTCTGCAGTTGGAGGGTGCCATCAATCTTAATAAAAACATTGTTGAGATGCAGAAGGAAACAGAAATGATCCACAAGGAGCTGCTTGAATCAATTTCAATGTCTTCTGATGCAACACTTTCAAACAGGGCATCCTCGGTACACATAGTCTTAAACTAAAGTGGAACTAACAACTAATTTATTAATTAGATTCACCACTGGGCCTATAACTTACACAATAGGTAAGACCGAATCTGTGCTTGCTCAACACCACTCACTTTTCTTTTCAAGCTCAAATTCAATTTCCATGTTGCCGGCAAAGCCAAAGATATTGCATGGGCGGGGATCAGAGCTTAAAGACATTGTGGAAATTCTCCACCAGGAACCTGCAAGGATAGCAATTCTAGGTGCTGGTGGAATGGGTAAAACAAGCCTTGCCAAAGCTGCTCTACACCACCCTGACATTATTACCAAATACCGTCATCGGTTCTTTGTGGCTGCTGATTCTGCTACCACCAGCATTGAACTTGCAGCTTTGATTGGGTTACACATAGGATTAAAACCTGGGAAGGACCTTACAAAGCCAGTTATGCACTACTTCTCCAACAATAGTCTGTCACTGTTGGTTCTTGATAATCTCGAAACTTTGTGGGAGCCAGTGGAGTCTCGTCATGGTGTTGAGGAGTTTTTATCAAGTCTTACGGATGTCTTGCATCTAGCAGTTGTGGTAGGTATATGTCAAATTTTACTTTCTACTTCCACTCACATCTTGATAGATAACTATGCGAGGTGCAGAAAGACCTGCAAAAGTCCGTTGGACTCGTCCATTTCTGCAGCCTTTGAAGCCCCTATCAGATGATGCAGCTTACCAAACATTCATTGACATTGCTGAGGATTTCCACAATAAGGAGGACATTACCAAACTCCTGTCTTTGACAGATAACATGCCCTTAGCAGTCGAGCTCATAGCCCATCTTGTGGATCAGGAAGGGTGTGAGGATGTGTTGGCTCGGTGGGAGACCGAAAAAACTTCTCTGCTTTCTGATGGTCATGATAGAAGGTCAAACTTGGACATGTCAATCACAATCTCGCTTTCAAGTCCTCGGCTCAGCTCTGGAGCCAGGGATTTGTTAAGCCTACTTTCTATTCTCCCTGATGGCCTTTCAAATGCTGAGCTGCTCCAAAGCAAGCTTTCCATACAGAATATTTTGGAATGTAGATCCACACTGCTTAGGACATCTCTAGCCTATGAAGATGATAGGAAACGGCTAAAATCACTGGTGCCTATTCGCGAGTATATGCAGCAGTTCTACCCAGCTCCACCACCTTTGATTCACCAAGTTGAAACGCACTTCCATCTTCTGTTGGATGTATATGAAAATCATCGTGGATCACAGCAGGTAGCTGGACAACTCAATCAGATAACTGTAAATCTGGGAAACCTACATCAAATACTACTGCGAGGATTACAACAAGACAGCCTGACCCTGGCAGACACAATAAATTGTGTCATTTCCCTAAACCAGTTCAGCCGTACAGCTGGATATGGCCGTCATGTACTAATGAGTTATATTTCGGCTATGATGTCTTTGATTCATGATGACAGACTGCAAGCCTCCTTCATCATAGAGGTTTTTCATTGTCGACTCATTCATCCCATTCCCAATCCCGAAGAATTGATTGCTCAAGCCAAATGTCACTTTGGCAAATTTGATGATCTACTCCTTGAGTGTGAGTTTCCTGTATGTTTTGAAGGATATTTTGTTAATGAATTTAATAACAGCAAAGTTCTATTGTACGGTGGGAGAGTACTCCCTTTATAATCAAGGCAAAAAATCTAGAGCCAACCAATTCCTTGACAAGGCACTTGTACTATCAAAATCCTGTGGAAACAAGAAGCAACAGGCTGCAGTATTGTTTTCACTTGCCTTGATGCTCTGGTCTATTGGAGACTATCCTATAGCCCAGATACATGCTCGTGGGACACAGAGATTGGCCCAGTTATCTGCAGATTTACACACTGAATCATCTGCACTGTGGCTTGAAGCGGTCTGTGTCCGTGAACTTGGTGACTACAAGAGCAGTATGCTCTTCCTCAACAGAGGAAGAAAGCTGCTCGAGCTCTGTGGGATGTCTCAAGGTGCTTTAAACAATGTTATCACGTCTACTGAGGCAGAGACACATCTGTTGAAATCCGAATATGCTGAGGCTTGCAGCATCCACACCGAACTCGCTCGGAATTCCCAAGATACATATAACTATGCTCTCAGCCTCCTTAATCTGGCCCAAATTGATATTAAGATTGGGGCCAGTGTTCAGCATGTGCACCATAATCTGGACAAAGCAAGAGAAATTTTCATGGCTCCAGGAGATCTATATACATTGAATTTATGTGACATCTTTTTAGGAGAGCTTAATCTCAGAGAGAACGAGACTCGTTCTGCAAAGGCAATATTTGAGCAGGGTTTGAATTCAGCCTGGGAAAATGACAGTCAGGCTGCACTCATGTGCCTGGAGAAACTTGCTGATACTAGCCAGTGGCCTGTGAGTGATTTTGAGTGGGCCTCAAGATGGACCTTAGTGTATTTGGCATATGCAAAAGGAAAACAACACAAACAGGCAATTCACAAGGCACTTCAATTCCTAGGAGATGTGTTTCTCACAGAAGGAGATCTTGATACAGCTGGCTGTCTTTTCAATGTAGCACTGGAAATGTTCACATATATGGACATCCACTGCAGTCAAGCCGAGTGCATGCTTCGCCTTGGAGATATTGCAAGGCTCAGAGGAAATTTGGCACATGCAGCAGATCTGTGGAAAGAGGCCCGCCCGCTATTTGACCGGTCATTGCAAGCAAAGGATGTCGCGCAAATTGACACCAGACTTGCCTTAGTTAGACAAGAGGTATCAGACCGACACCAGAAATCAGTTGCATTTTTGAGTGAGCTGGAGACACCTACCACAGCAGTGAATCAGGGGCTGATTCCGAGTGATATAAATCTATTGAATATTGAAGCTGAGCATCCAGTCCTCCAGAATCAGGAAAAGCCCCTTGCATACCTCGGTGGACAGTAATTTTGCTTGCAATGTCCTATACTCCTTAAATTTGTGTCTGTATTTTTGAATCCATTTTACCTCTACACTTGATAATCAGATATACCGCTGGCTTTCCCCTCTGTTCCAAACAGCGATGTCTAGTTTCATTTATTTCCTGGAAAGTCATTTCAATCCAACTTCTGCTTTTTCAATAGCCAGATATATGTTTCTTTTCTCTCGCAATTGCCAGTCTATATGGATCTTGGTCCGATACTTGCGTAGTATGTAGATACCCTGTTTTGTTCTCATTTTGAATGACCTTCTATTCATTTTATTCTTTATGTAAATAGAGTTGAACATTGAATTTCGGTCCAGCTCCTTGTGTTGTGTTTTTTTGTTCAACTCACCTTCAAGTTTTTTCCCCAGATGCTAATTTATTGTGGGATGAAAAGAGAACACAATCGAACATGGTGTACCTAACGCAGGCAGTCTACTTTATCCTTGATGTGATCTCTTGCCGTATCCCAATCATCTCTTCTGTTGCCGTGTGCTTTTTGTTTATTCAACTGATCTGATTTCTATTTCTTCTAGTTAACTCTAGCGCAGAGCGAGATTGTTGTGTAGGTATGGCAGCGATTTTGATTCCCACCAAAATGTAGCTCGAGCTCGGGTCTCCGCCTCCGAGTATCACAGGCCACTATTGAGCTGTAGCTCGGACTCCTACTGCTTTTGACTCGCTCTCACTCTCTAATCAGTGTTCTGAATTTACAAGCATTCTATCGGGCGTGGTGTATGGAACGCAGTGGGAGTCTTTAGCCAGGGTTTGAAAACTTACTGAACATGCCACCTGCAGTCCGGGTCCGCCCCGAATACGCGTGGTTCAATTGTAAAAAAGTTTCCTTCTACTCCTCCAATACGCACCCTTTGAACCGAGTAATTTAATCTGGCATTTTTGTTTTAAGTGGTGTATCAGGGCGTTCACACCGCGTCGCTCTCCCGGTTAAAATTTTCAATCAGTGTGGGGTAAGTCGAGTTCGACTTTACCTCACAGCCAACAGTGCGTTGAAAGCTGTTCAGATGAGGGTTTATTCTAGGACTCACCAGGCTAACGCATCGGATGTGGTGTACACGACACGGCGTAGTCTCTTGGCCATTGATTCATCTGACACACCCGCAGTCCGGGGATCGATTCCCCGCGTCCGAATAGTTCTGCCGCCTGACTCTTTTTTACATGTATGCGACCCATGCATGCCGAGTTCGATTCGGCTACAGTACATACTACGAAGGCTAATAGAGGGCGTGATACATGGATCGTAGGCAGTCTTCTTTCCGCAACTGGTGGGTTCGGAGCTTACTGTCTATGAAGTTCAAGCCTGATGTTTCCTCGCTGGAATTTCGTGCGCAGGTGAGCTGTAAGCCGAGGTGGTTACAAACGTGTAACGTTATTTACGAGGCATGCTGAGATTCCGCGGTTCACATGCTGGTTTATTCTGGTACTACACAGGGACATAAATCGGACGTGGTGTATGGAACACAGCGAGCTCATTTAAATAGTGATGTTGAGAATACTACTTGCAGTCCGGGGTTCGACTCCTCGCGTCCGAATTGTCTGGGGTGATAGGTGTTTTTTTCCCCTATTCATCTAATACCTTGACGCGCATGAAGAGCTCTACCTACGTATGGCCGAGAGTGATAGGTGGACGTGCTGTATGCCCCGTAAGTAGTCAGTATTCTTTCTGCAGCTGGTATGAAAATTTAAAGATTACCGTGCACGAAGTTGCAAATCAGGGTTGGTTCGTGTACAGCCGATTTCATTTGTTTGCCAGGAATGGCTGCAAGATACGGATCAAATGCTGGGTTACAGGGGGATTAAACTGGAAGATAAATCGGACGTGGTGTATGCAACACAGCGGGGCTCTCTAGGTGGATTTGATTAGTGATATTCCCGCAGTCCGGGGTTCGACTCCCCGCGTCCGAAGCATCCGCTAGAACCCAACTTTTTTCTTTTCTTATTCATCCAGTTCCTTAATTTGCATGCCTAGTTCGATTTACGTGATAGGGGACGTGGTGCCTGTGTTGTAGGTAGCTAGCATTCTTTCTGCAACTGGCAGCTTCTGTTCGGTAGGGTTGGTTCTATCGGTGCGGCCGCAACACATCGCAGTCGGCTTCGTTGTCAGATTCTAGCAAATATGTGCGCTCGGAGCGGATGATATAGACGTACAACTGTGACATGTACAGCCGGGTTCAGAATTTTTTTCACGAGGCGGATGTTTGCGAGATGCTCCGATGCAGCTGATATCTCCCTTTTCGTTTCATTTTGTCCTTGACGCAGGGTACGGTGGCCTCAGCATTCCCTATTCGCCCGATGCAAAGATTTACTTCAATCACCGCCCGTTTTTTTTTCAGGATCCAATTTGAAGTTTGTTAAAACTTGACTCCGCAGTGTTCAATGAGTCGCACATTTGTCAGCCGGCGTTCAACCTCCGGCGTCCAAATGAGAGTAAACTTTTACTGGCAGCTTCAACGTGTGGGGCTTGAATGCGATTCAATTGCAACCTGGATTACGCAAGCAGCAACGATATTGCCACTTGAACAAGATTGCGAAGCGTCCTCACGGCGAGAAGCAGGTCGAGCAGGCGGTCCGGGCACTTCTTAGCATGGCGATAAGAGCCGGCTACCTTCGAAGATGCTCGGCGCTGCTCTCACCCCACAGCGGAGCACGCGGATCAAAGAAGAGAACCGTCGCTTGGACTCGCCGGCGGCCCGTTGACGTACCCTGAATTTGTTTCTTTCTACGTGGATTACGCGTCGTATATTATCTACACTACGTCACTCTTTTTCCACTACCACCTCCACCACCTCCACCTCCACCACCTACTCCCCCTCCCCCCCCCGAGAATGTTCCCTGAAAACACCAGAGGTACGTCCCTCTACCCTCACGCACACTGGGATGAATATTGTCACCGCGCTAATCCCTCTCAGGCCTTCCCACGGACTCGTCCGAATATTTCGACTTGTCCAGCGGCAAATTCCCCGACGACAGCGCCTACATCTCCGACAGCGACTACATGACCTACTCGCTCAACCTGGGCGCCGACTCTCCCCTCGACACCCCCTCCGCCTCCGTGTGTCCCACACCAAAAGTCACCGGTACCCCCCGAGTCTGCGGCCTGCGCTTCGTCTGCGCGTCAACGAGCTCTCGCCGTCCTCTCCTCCGACGCTCTCTGCATGCCCGTCTCTGTCCACCACGTCCGCCTCCACGTCTGCGTGGAGCCCTCGCACCCCTTCTTCGGAAGACGAGGACTTTCCTGCGCACACACTGCACTCATTCAGTGCCCACTTGTCTGCTCATTCGGACCTGCATCCGGATGGTCGCGATCCACCGCAGTTGCAGTACAACCAGATCGACGTGCAGCCGGATGATCTCGGTACGAATGAAGGCGAAGCGCTGAGTATTTCGCGAAGCAGCATCCTCGGTACGCGCAACGTGATCCTCGCGCTCGTCCGCGCCGCAGGATGCGTCCTCGTTGTCATTGTGCTCGCGAGCCGCGGGCGGTGGGGCGGCGGTAGTTGGGTGGCGGATTCAGAGAGGGCCCGATAGGCGTTAGTGCGTATCGACGACTCTCGATGCGTCTCATCTTGGCCCACCTCATCGACACACACCTCGCTGCCACGTCTCGATGCCTACACATTCATCACTTGATGGGCAATTCAGTATCGACTCCCATTCAATTTCGCTGTTGCGTCGGAACGCACTCGTCTCATCTTTCGGCATCGATCCCCGGTGGCTCATTCGCCATCCATTCTCGTCCCTCCACATGCCTCATCCCATCCTGGGTTCCTCCTCATCATCGGGATTCGGCTGTCCGCACTCATCTCCCATTCCGCTTCACATCGCATTGTATTTCTCGCACTACAAACCTCTACTTGTACCTTTCTATCACGTCTGTTCATGAATCTACGATGTTACTTGACGACTTCGCTGGTTTGTTCAGGTGTCGGCTCGCGCAGGTATTTTTGACGAGGCATAGGTGTCAGGGACGCGGAGGATTCATTTATCTCTACTGATTTCATCCACATCTACATTTGCATTTGAATTTAATTTCGCTCTCGTCCGTTCGCGCGAGTCAATCTGTCTGTTCAGATCTTTTCACCACTGTAGACCTCTGTTCACGGCTGTTCGCACTAGCCTCCAGGTGTTCACCGCTGTTCGCCCACTGTTCGCGGATCGCCGTGCGACGTCGTGCATTGCTATGATGCCTGTGTATTTGGTTAAATTACTTAATAAATCAGCAACCCGCGCGGAGATCTTCAACGCTGCCGGAGTCGGATTGATGAGTTTGTAACCCGGATCATCGAGTCGAATCCGCACAGCGGTGCATGTGTGCAATATCGGATACATGTACAACACATCGAGTCCCACTAGAGGAGCCAACCACGACGAATTTGCGGCGTCCAAGTAACAATTTGACATCGAGCAGCACGACTACGCGTTCCTCCTGAGCTCAAGGGTGATTTTCCGCGTTCCGAGCCCGCGGAACGTCGCAGGATGCTGACACAGTCGCATCACCGTCGCGGACTCGGGATGCGTTGTAGTCGGCAGAGAGTTCGTGTTTTACGCGTTTTTCTCATATTCGGCAGGCAGAGGGTTATAAGGTCCAGTAAACACGCGTGGGAGCAAATGGAGGATGGTGGTGAAAGACATAGGAGACTTTGTGCTTGTGTGGCAGCAACGGCTTTGTGCATGTTTCCGCTTCAGGCCGACTGACCGATCACTGCCACTACACCTTGCGGACGACCGTCAGCGCTCTTTCTCTAGACTCTGAGGGCTTTTCTTGTTTTGATGCTCCACGACTCAAGACATCCTTGACATTGAACATGCCAATCCGAGTCAGCGACGCCCGACCATGATCCATCGGCGACACCGCGATTCTGTCGCCTCAATTATTACTACCTCCCCAACGGGAGGTTCCACGACGGCGCCTACTATACGGCGTACTCGCTTGATTAACCTGTGGGCCGACTCTGACTTCTTCCAAGGCCCAACTTCGCATCGACCCGGCCGCGTCCCCTCCTCGGCCCTCTCCGCGCGCCCATCATCTGCGGCATCCACGTCTACGCCCCTGTCCATGGACCTCTCCCCTTTCTCGGGAGATGAAGACTACACCTTCCCCGCACGCGCAGCGCTTCAGTCCCTTCACAGAGCGATCGGCGCGCAGTCAGATAATGTCAAGTTAGATATTATCGATACGGATACCGTTACGAAGGAACCGGTGTGCATCTGAACCCCCAACTTCTTAAACGACATGGTTCCTACCCTCACGCATGACTCCCTTCTCGTGCTCCAGTACGACTCCGTTCCCGCATACGCGCTGCAGTCTATCCTCCGCGCGCTCTTGGATAATCTACAAAAACACGCAACGATATCGATCCGAATACCGCCACTCGGTGAGCGACGTCCTCGGCACCTGCAGCGCCTTTCTCACGCGCGTGGTGGCGTGGATCAACGTGCTGGCGGTGTGTGGGCATTGCGCTTAGATCTCGTTGGTCCCCGGTGTTCCCATTTTGTCGCGTCAGGTTTAACTTTCGCTCCTCGTCCCAGCTGACGTTCATTTCACTGGGTTTCGTTATCTGCATCTCCAATGGCTGTCACAGCCAGCTCGACGTAGCACGGCTCCGTGGCCTTTCATGTCGCTGCTCCGATACATCAGTTCGCATCTGTACTCTGCACCAGCTCCTCCTCCTCTACTCCATAGTTCCCAAACTCTGTCATCGCAATCTCCCAATTGATGTCTCACTGCAAACCGAACATCGCCTTGTCTTATCGACCTGTGCGTAGATTCGACCTCCCTCTTTTCCCTGAATCTCGGCCACCGCTTCAAGTTTCGCGTACGTATGATGTTTAATGTTTAACCTTCTGGTAAGATTTTCGAACTTCCGGTGCGAAGGTATACATCTCTCCATTGCCCACAGGAACCGTGGCATCGGAGGATCTCTGTATGTCCTCATCGCCGCCCGCCTCAATCTGCCGGCACGATCTTCATTTTGTTAGTAAGACTTTTAAGTCCACACCTTAATTTTTTCTCATTCATGACCAAGGAACTAACGCGGACAATTAACCGCGGGTGGAGTACTGTGAGGTTCGTATAATTACGGAAGTAACGGACCTCGCGTGAGTCGCCCAGAAGCCAAGTAGATCACACAAAAGGTGAGTGGGTGAGGTGTTGGATTCCAGAAAACTGTAGAACTACCTACTTACAGGCTACTTAAATATCAATCTTCTTGTCCTTGTACTTTATTACCTTGTTCTAAATGCTATGCTACCTTTTATCTGATAAAGGAAACTTGAAACAGAGTAACTAAAACGCAGTCGTTGAACATTTATAAATACAACTCATCACGTGGTATCTCGGATGCAGACGGACCGCCTATTCCTTACAGGTACGAAACACAGCTGGCTCCGCAGCATATGCCCGGGAATGCTGGCACTCCCGGCGTCTGAATGGAGTTTTTTTAAAGAAATTGCGTCCATCGTCTCATTGGTCTGCGATCTTTGCGCGTGCTCCACGCAGTCCGGTATTCGATCCCCCTTGTCCGAATGTCCGACCATCTTAGCTCTTTTCCTTTCCCTAGTCGTCTGATTTCTATCATTTTTGGTTCACGCTATGGGTGAAATGTGGCAGCTCGACCTCGTCCGAATAACCAGTATGCTCCAATTTCTCATTTTACTCCGACTGGGTCGAAGCCTATGCTGCCGATTCCGTGTCGTAGAAATAGCTGCAGCAGAGCCGTGTGTACATTGCACGACACGTGGACTGCCCTGGGCCGTCTCTTCCCCACTGCCAGCTCCAAACAACTTCCAGGCTGTGATGTAGTCTCGTGCACAGCCTCTCATGACATCCCAAATTGCGAACCCTGTCATGAGAGTCTGGGGCCTAAACCAGATTAACCAAACTACTGCGCTATCAAACTTTGATG